CAAAAGTTTTTTTTAATAAAAGTCAACATCAAATAAACAAAATAATAATAATAAAAACAAAATGAAAACAAATCCCAATCTATACATTTTATTGTTTCACTTCAAAATAAACCTTGTTATTTACTTTAAAGATGATTTTGAATTCCGTTTTATCTTTACTTGAATATACCAAAACTTCCTCAGACAAACAATAAGAAATAATTTATCTATAAGAATGACAAATGTGGCATAGAAATGCTAATGTAAAGCTAAATTACAACTTTTTAATAAATAAAAAAAAAAAACTATAATTTTGCAAAAACACAAGTGCATCAGTCTCTCTGAACATTTCTATTGAAAACACTAATAATAACAGCAATTCCACAGGCAGAGTTCGGCAATTTTCTGTTTCTGTTTTCTTTTGTGAGGGGACTGAGAAGCTGTCATTTTCATGAAGTGCCATTGCGAGTCTAAATTCAAATACTCCAGTGCCCAGAGGACACTGAACTCTGGCTCTTCAATCCTTTAAAAGCATTCCCGATGTCATTCAGCAAGAGTATTTCTGTCCTGTATTGCAGTAAAAATATTTGGTCTCACTTTATATTAAGTGCCCTTAAATATCTACTTGCATTCAAATTAATCACTTGGTACCTTTTGGCCAGCCTTTTATTAGGCCGAGCATTACAAATGTACTTATTATGTACGTACATGCTTTTACATTGTACTATTTAAAAAAAAATACCTGCATGTAATTACATCTGTAAGTAATTTATAATTACACTGTTGACCCTTAATCTTACCCAAACCACCAAACTCGTCCCTAACCTTACCCGTATTCCCACCTCAATAGCAGCAAAAGTGATTTGCAACACAATATGAACACAAAGTACATTGCACTTATTTTTTTGATGTAAGTACATAGTAGTTAAGGCCACTTAATATAAAGTGGGACCAAATATTTAAACACACAACATTTACACAAGAAGCAAAACTGCAGATAATAATATATTAAGAATTGTTTGTATGTGTTTTTCTTGTTTTAAGCATAAATCCAGCTGAATTTATTGAGGTCTATGCTTACTAAAATAATAATAAAAACGTAACTTTGAAAATATGTTTCAAAATAATGTAGGCTCACATAAATTCTCAAGTCATATCAGTGCCCCAAAAAGATGTTATATTTTTACAGAGTGAGTAGCCTGATGGAGGCCGCCTTGTTGAGATAACAAGACCAGCTAAAAATAACTTTTATTTAAGACTAAATCATATTATGCGATACTTTTGTTTGCAGAAGTTGTTAATCAATGGCTGATTTTTGTGTAATGCATCCTCCACACCACTAGGTGTCAGCATAAAATATATAATACATAAGTAGTGTAAATGAAATAAACAAAGATATATTTTCTAAAAAACAATTCTAAATCGCATAGAGAATAAAACAATCAAAATCGAATGACTACCCTCAGAACAGTACAACCTACGACATGGGGCGTAACACTTTTTAAGTAAAAATATCTTGTTTTAAAGACATTTTTGTTGTTATTACAGGAAAACAAGATGCAACTGTGCATTTGGTATCTTGTTGCATTTTGGCACAAGGCACTGAAAATTGACATTTAAGACTATAAATATTGCTACTAACAATCTCATTACATCTTTTTAATGGTGGCAGTGGCGATCATGCCACACACATAATGACCTGTGTGCAGGAGCACATCAAAGAAACCCAAAAATTGATTACAAATTCACAGTGACTTTCCAATCCAGCCCTCTTTAATTGCATCTTCTCCTGTACAATCGTGATCCTGGACTACAGCCAATTCATCTCTCGCTTCTCCCATGTCATCCATCAGAACTGACTCTCCTTTGCCCCCCAGCGCACACTGTTGTTCCAGAGATGACACCATGTGCTTTCTCTCTCATCACATACTCGGGCCCTTGATGTCTGTAAATTGGCCCTCACACCGACGGCGTCTCTGGGCGATGCAGACAGTCGTTGCCAGCTGTCGCTAACAGAAACTGCCGCCACCTCTAGTTCTTGAATATCTCACCTCGTTGTCCAGAGACTCCCGGAGCAGACAGGACACTCAATAAATGAGATTTCTCATTGACTACGTCTCGCAGAGACCATAAACTGGTGGAAAACAGCATCTGGATCTACAACTTTCGGATGACTACAGCTTGTATCTCTAGGTGAGTTATCGAAACCACAAATGGAAAAAAGCACCACATATCACACTAAATAATGTAAGAGACAACTATTCGTATAGTGGATGAGTTCACACCGAATGCAACCACATTTAGTGATGCTTCATCCACACCACTAGGTGTCAGTATATATAAAAAAATATTAGTGCAAGACACCACTTTGTAACTAAAACAAACAAAAATAGTGTAAATGAAATAAAGATTTATTGCATAAAAACAAGTCTAAAGGCCCGTTCACACAAAGAACGATGACTATAAAGATATATTATAACTATATAACTATATTAGCGTAGCGATAACGTTCTGTTTATTATAAGCGCGCACTGCAGTTGTGTCATTTGCTCCTTTAAATTGTCAATCTCCTTAAAGCAGGATGGATTCTGATTTGCTGTCAATATTTTTATCATTCATCAGCTGGAAAAAAAATTGTTCTGAAAAGTGTTTCCAACGATATCGTTCCTATGTGTCATTATTGTTATAGTTGTGGTATGAACTCTGCTATTCTTTTTACATTTAGAACGATTTGAAAAACTATATTTTATCGTTATCATTATAGTTATCATCCTTGGTGTGAACAGGGCTTAATTATCTTACAAAAATGTCACTTTTCAATTAAAAATATCTTGTTTTAAAGACGTTTTAGTTACAGGAAAACAAGAAAAAAAATACTTCTTAAAAATATGCGTTTGGTGCCTAGTTGCATTTAGGAATGATTGTACAACCATATTAGCTTAGTGCTCAAAAATAGGACTGTATTATGCTGCTGTTTGAACGGCAATATAACATGCAAGAAATTGTTAAAAAATTTTAAAAGCAAACATATGCTAATTTGTTTTTTGGTCTCAAGCGCGTAAAATTTTACTACTCAGATAGCTAGACTTTTGATTAATTGCATACAATTTCCATTTTTCAATTTATTCTGGCCAAACACTTGCCACTTAACCAAGAAAGGTCAAGAACGCCAAAAAAAGTGACCAATCAGAATTTGTCAGATTTTTATGTGTCATTAATGTATGAAAAAGTTAGTACCAGGGTTGCCAGGACTGTGAAACAAAACCATCCTAATTCTTATTCAAAAGTAGCCCAATCAGTTTTTTTTCCGTGGTTTTCCCCTCCATCAAAATCGTGAAATTGCTTTGACTTGCAGGCTAAAATAACAACCCACAGCAACAGTACAAAAGTAGCCCAATTTTGCAGGAAAACCACAACTGGTAACACTGGTTGGCACCACAAAAATAAACAATTGTGGAATAAACAAATTGCACAACAGTGATCAGCAAGGATAGTGTTTTTCAGTCAGTTCTTGCCATCTTTGTGCAATGTGCATCAGACGGTTTGCGAACAGACTGTGGGCGATCTGTGGGCGAGCCGGCGGTCTGTCTGAGGCTGGTGCTATGTTACTACCAACTTGACATAAGGTGTAGGCGACAGTCAAATAGGTTCTATCTTATGTATGTTAGTGCAATGTGGCCTAAATAGCAGAACACCTCAAGTACCATCTAGTGGACCTTATTTTGACCTGGTAGACCATTTTGGTTAGGCTTGTTAGAGCTGCTAGACCACTTTGCACCTTGGTGTTTTGTGCAGTGAATTATTAGCTGCTGAGAGCATCAAACCACTGAAATTCAATTTTGCGCAATAAAGAGGTTTGGTACAGCATTGGGTCCTCGCTGTAAAATCTGTCCTGAAGCAAAACCAGTTGTTGTACACTGTCTCTGTTTTCATATGTGACAGTTGTGCACATCATTAGTCAATTAACTGAGTTTTCACCGGTTCAAATATCAATAAACATCTCTTGACAAGCATCATATTTCTCAGAGAAATGTGAAAGGACATATTATACAATACAGAACAATTCTGGGTAACAATTTCTTTGTCATTCTTTTAATTTCGTTAGCACGTAGTCAATAGTATTGATTCCTACATTAATTACTCTAGATACTCCAGAGTGTTTACCCCTTGTGCTGATATTGACTTCACCACAGGCTACAAGACAAAATACATGCATATACAATTTAAAAATGATTTTACAACTTAGAAATTCTACTTTAGTAATGATGCATATCATTGCTTAAAATGTAATGTTCTACTCAATCCTGGATTAATGCATCCAAAGCTACACCTATTTTTTTTTTTAATAAGAAAGGAAAACAACCTTGCATGCATACTTATGCTATCCTGTTATGAATATTCCCAAATTTCGGTTGACAATCTTGATGTGCATGTACTCTGTCTTGTAGCTGACTGGGAATTGGGAACCTGTCAGCCTGAACTAGCCATGATGAGCTAAGGGAAGCTTATGTAATTGAGAGCTCTGTTACAGAGAATGTGTAGAATACAGTAGAATGTGCTTTGTATTCAGAAATGCAGCGCTAATAAGCTGGAGTCAATGAGCCTGACAGGATTCTTCAAAAAAAAAAAAAAAAACCTAATGAAACAGTAGTAACTTTTATACTTTTTTCAATCACTGCAGCAAGTGTTCATAATTCCTTGCTGGAAAATCCAGCTAAAGCTGGTAGCTTTGAATTTTACACACTATCTGGTAACTAGCTTGTGTAAGCCGGTTATTAGCAGGTCCAAGCTGGTCAATTAGGCGGTCAACCAGTTACCAAAATCACCTGATCACCTGTTGTCACTAAAGATCAACTTCGACCAGTTACCATCAATGAAAAGACTGTACCAGTTACCAGTTTACACAGAATTTTTAAGCTAGGTTTTCAGTCAAGAGGGCAAACATCATCAACTCGCTGAAAGAAAACCTGCATGTCATAGCATGAGGTGTTTTTAGGCAAAAATGAGCTGTTAGCATTTACCTGTGCACTTTCTGCTAGTGTCTTCTTTCTTGGAGGAACTCATGAGCTTGCAGTTGAAGTTCTCCTCCCAGAACTCAGCAAACCAGACGTTCCTTCTGTTGTTCTCCAGTGTGCGTGATGTAAAGTAGGTGTCGAAACCTGAAAATGACAACATAAAACCATTAGCGATAGCATCAGATAATCTGTAATATTGCCTGAAAAGCCATGTGCTATTATTTTGATTATACCTGAACATACCTAAATTGCTTCACTAGTACATCTCACCACCCCCCCCAAAAAAAAAGATATGCAATGATAATGTATGAACAGTGCAAAGTTTGTTGGCGTTTCCAACATACTCACATGGCAATTAGTATCTATTTTACGTTTTGATGAACTGGTGGCTAATTTCTATGAATTTGTATCTAATTTGTTCATTTTCACACAAAAGAAGATAGTTTGAAGAATGTTGGTAACCAAACAGTTGCCAGTAGCCATTGACTTCCGTAGTATGAAAAAATAATAATAATAATACTATGGAAGTCAATGACTACCTGCAACAGCTCAATTACCAACATAACAACATTGATGTTTTTGTGCATTATTAAACACCAGATAACTTTGAATGAACATTCTATTGAATCACTGGAAGAACATGTGTTCGTAATTTTGAGAGAACTTGAGAGCTGAACACTGCTTCTCAGCCTTCTCATTCACGTTTCTAAAAATCGTACATTTCTGTACGAATCACATTGCACAAATTTATATGAAATGACTTTGTAAAATAGTTACATTTTCTCATGAGATTGAGTTGTGATTTCAGTCATCATCATCCTGCTGAACTGAATTACTGACTAAGAATGTGATGCTAGTATACTGGTGTAACTAGTTGGATAATCTTAACCAGTTTCTCTGAGCAATTAAATCACAGGTACAGCATTTAGAGAAGTTACCATTGTTGAATGATCAGCCTTGGTGTGAAAAGGCCACAACACATTTGTGTGGCAAAAGTTCTGCATCCCCAACAAAATCCTTAACATCCTTATTTGCCATTCTTCACGTCAGGAAGCTTAGCATGTAATCAGACCGTTCGCCATCAGCAGACAAACAATAACATTTATCAATCCGGATCCTGAAGAGTCTTTTGAGTCTGTTCTTGTTGTCTGCCATCAAGGCTAATAACATGCCTCATCTAAATAGGTTTGTGGCGTAATGAAGCTTTCATCCACAGTGTAGCTACAAAGACAAAGGTCAGCAGAACATTTCATTTTGCCACAGGCATCGGCTAACCTTACATAGTCATAAATCATTTAAACTTTGTTTTGCTTCCACTCGGCAGACTGCAAAGGAAGTGAGTCCGGGTCTGTTTTGCCCACTAGAAAATAAGTGTTAAGAAAGAGATAATGTGTTATCATTAAGCTGCTACAGCAGAGCTGCCCTAAGCCAGTCAACAAATGCAGCTGAAGTCTTTAATGCACTCCTGGGCATTGCAATTTTGCATCGTAAATGGTTTTATGAACAAGTTACAATAAAATTTGTTCTGCACATGTTTTATAAATAAACCCCAGTTTTCATAATCACTACAACATATTGACCTATGCTCAAAAACTCTGCAGTTTACGTTCTATGGCCTTAGCAGCTAAATTATTCCTCAGGCTGATTGATGCATGTTTTCCATTTATTTGTCAGATGACCTCGACCAAATGTGCTCTACCCATCACTCCACGGGACTCAGAAACTGATCCTCAGCAGGTTTGTGTGCTCGCTCATAAATTCTGCTAATTGCAGCTTATTTGTACACAAGCCTTGTACACAAGAAACTCCCAAAGGCCTGTCTGTGTCATTTTCTCCGTGTCTGGAGGACAAAGCTCAGAGCTTCACCTTTTGTTTAAAGCGTTCAACAGCTGCTCTGTTGCTGAGAAATTAACAGGCAGCCCGTGAACCTCCACCACGGCGGGATTCAGGAAACGTCCTTGCTATCCAATAATGTCACATTTTTTATAAATATTAACAATATATCTAAAATAAGGATTGTGACCGCACTTTACAGTCAAAAGCCATAGGGGGGGATTAGATTGGACATGAAGCCATTAACCTCCTGGGGTCGACAGTTCCGGCGGCGGAACTTTTAGCAGAATTATATACAGAGTGACAATAATTATGAAAGAGTGAATTAAAATATTTTTTTAAATAAAGGCAATCAAAGAATCCTGAATACTGAACAAAAAAATGTGTCACAGTTCCTGAAGGTCTGAATGAATGAATGAATGAATGAATCAATCAACAAAACTGAAAACATTGATATTGTTAAGATTTTTTTTGAGCATCAAATCAGCATATTGAAAGATTTCTGAAGGATCATGTGACACTGAAGACTGGAGTAATGATGCTGAAAATGTATAAAACTTTAAAATATGTTAAAATGGAAAAGAAAATTTAAATAAAACAGAATATTTCACAAAATTACTGTTGTGTTTTTATATTTTTAATTAAATAAATGCAGCTTTTGAAAGGATAAGATATTTTGCTTAAAAAATCTTTTTAAAAAGCATTCAAAAATATTTTGGTAGATGGTAGGCTGGGCACTGGGTCCGGAGTGGCACTGGCGAGAGAGTGTCCACTCCACAAAGGCAGCGAAATTCGCTCGAGGACCATCTTTGGATGACATCGCTCTGCATGAGAGGTTTAAACTGGCGTCGTAGAACGCACAGAGCGCGTCGTCCGGGTAGCTGGTTAGAGCAGCGAGGACCAGGAACAGTCTAGTATGGCCCTCGAGCGATCTCTCCCCCTGCTCCAGCAGGAGAAGGAGGTATGCGGGGCGAAGAAGGGCATCCATCCAGGGAACAACGGGGAAAAAAAGACACTGGGTAAAAACGGGAAACAAAACGGAGGGTAGACACACGGA